CCTCCCCTCCCCTCCCCTCCCCAAGGCAGCTGTAAGAAAAATGCCGGAATCCACATTGTGTGATACTTTACCTAAGCCAGATCTGTGCGGGCCTTACACCTTTCTTTCGACAGGTGCTCTGGGCTGCAGAGGAGAGACTCAAGCTTCTGTCCTGCCACCACTGGAGGCACATTTTGTGTGTGGCGGTGTGGGGAACCCCGTGTGATTCTCTGCCTCCTGCCACCGTTGTGCTCACAACAACCCTGCAAGGTAGTCTGCAAAACTTACAAAGTGTTTGCCTTTGAGGGGGAACAGAGGTGCCCCACTTGGTCACCTTTGCAGCTATTCTGAATTTTTTATTTTCATAGGAAACATCACCACCTCTGCCCTGTCCAGAGAAGCTTAAGACGGGCCCGGAGGGATTATGCTGTTCCGGAAAGAACATTCTCAGGAGCAAATTGGACGAAAGAGAGCATCGGCGGAAGAATTAATGATGGCGAACTTGCCCTGGCCTAGCCGGCAGAACTGAATAGACGGCTCTCCTCCGGACCCACAAAAGCCCATATTCCTTCCCCACCCCATGTCTTACTGCTTCAAGCCACAGAGACTTTAACAAGGGACGCTTTGTCCCCCTTTTAAATAACCCCGTCACCATAATTAATAGCATGGACAGAACCCTGGTGGTGCTGTAGAGAGACTGAAGGGTCGCTTTCAGCAGCTTTTTCATCTTCGCCCTGCCTCCTCCTTATCCTTCTAAGCTGCAAATGAAATGGAAAGGAAAAGAAAAGAAAAGAACTAAAGGAAAGAACACAGAGGTCTTGGTTTTACTGATCTCTCATTTGTTATGCCAATGAGCATTCTGGCTGGGGCAGGTTGGTCATCTCAATTTCAAAGCCGCCAGGACAACAGCCTGGAAAACAGTCTCACCTGCACTTGGAATATATTATTATTATCCAGCAAAATGCAGATTAGGGAACCCCTATAAAAATGGCTGCATTTAGTGCCCCCTTCCCCCCTCCTTCCTGGTAACCACCACAGCAGAGTGGAGTGAGGAAGAGGAAGGGGAGCAAGTCTATTCCACCAGTCCTCCGACAGCCAGCGTAGCTTTCCCCTCTACCCTCCCCATTCCTATTTCCTTGTGTGCCATGACTTGTTCTCCTGCTTCTCCGCAAGCCACTCCAGAGGCTTTTGGGGCTGAGGAACAGGATAAGATACTTCAAAGAAAGACAGACAGACACAGACAAAATCCACCATCTTGAGCTGTCTCAGAGCTTGTGGCACTCCTGGGGACACACGAAGTGGTGTAGAAGTATCACAAACACACAGCTAACTCACATGACACACAGGAGTGGCTGGGAGGTCGATTTGGGTTGGCAGGTGAGTATCGGAAGGATTTCTAGCACGGCAGCTACGGATCCTTCCTCTGGTTGAAGAGCCGCAACAACGGGATCACTTTTCTCTCCTAAATTCAGTGGTCAGTGGAGGACAACTCCAGAATCGCTGGACGTTCTGGCAGTTCCGGTCCTGAAAATGTATCCTTGGCCCCGCAAGGAACTTGGGACTCGTCCTCTGTTCTTCCATCCCGACTGCGTACCTTTTGCACCTGTGCCAGCTTCTTCCTCGTCCTTCTCTGGATCTGTCCAGCGGCACACAGCCAGGGTGCTAAATTTAATTAATTAATTAATTAATTAATTAAAACATTTTTATGCCGCCCCATTCGCCGAAGCCTCGGGGCGGCTTACAACAATTAGTTAAATAATTATAATTAAAAATATAAACATTAAAATAAAATACATACAATATAAAATAAGCCGCCCTGGCCAGATAAAATTCAATAATATTGACATTTAAAATGCTGCTTGAATAAAAAGGTCTTCGCCATGTGCTCACAGTTATATGTCCCTCCTCCTCCATCTCCTCCCCTGTCTCCTTCCTCTTCCTCAGTGCAGACCCAAAGAATGCTACACACACACCTGTTCACACAGCTACAGCAAAACAGAACAGAGATGGAGACAGACATAAGATGGACAATCAGGCACAGGAAGAAGAGAGAACAACTATGAATCCAGCGACTCTGCAGTTTGGATCTGAGTTCTCCTGTTCATCCCCGAGTCGGCAGGATAATAGACTCAAATAGGGCATCAGCACCACCTAAAGGTAGCTTTTGTTTTGGAATTTGAAAAAGGGAAACCCTTTCTCATCAGACAAAAGGGATGGGCTGAGAAGCAAACCACAGTCTCCTGATGTATCCTTTGTTTGATTTATGCTTGGACCTGCCTTTCAGCCGTCTGATCGGGCAGATGAAATACACACCCTCAAACATGCAATAAAAACCAGCCGGACGCCCTTTGCCCAGAAGATTTATAAGAGCAGCATGAAAAACAGGTCATGAGGAAGCATGTAGGTCTGTTGGAACAGGTGGGAGGACGGGGCAAAAGACGGCCCGGGGCAGGGATCAGGCCGGGGATCCACCTGCTCTTCCGGGGGTCCCCCTTCCTCCAACCCCTCCATTCGCTGGCTCCCTAGCTTTCCTGCCTCCCACCTTTCTAAAGGTGAAAATAGCTCTTTCACCTTCTGGCCATGCACCTTTTGCCTGCCCCCCCATGCGCCCCCCCAAGAGCAGCTCTGAATGGAATCTGCATGACTAGGTGAGCTGAAAGGAGCAGGGAATCCTGGGCTTGGGAAGAAGAAGAGCTGGGGGGTGAATGGGGGGGGTGGAGCCATAGTTAATGGGGGGGGTCCATAGTCAATGTACAAGGTGGGAGGGGCACCAAAAAAAGTAGAGGGGGAAATTCATCTGTAGTGCAGGCCTTTGAAAGACACAATTATGAGCTGCGTTGTGGTTGAATTGGTTGTAAAATTTGGGAGGGCAAGGGAAACATAGAGGGCGGCCCTTGCCCCCCCCCCCCGCCTTCCCCCTACTGCTCACATCCCAGAAGGGCAAAGACGTCTCCGCTGACCCACTTTCCACTCCCCCACCTGCTCTGCCCCAGAGACAGCGGGAGGCGGGCATGAAGTCTCTGTGGGGATAATTGCAAAGAAGGGGCGAGGGTCCAGCACAGCTTTGAAGTCTTCCCTGACCTGGGGGCTGCTGCACCAGCCCCCCCCCACCACACACACACACAGCATGGCAGCTGAACATGATGGGAACTGTGGTCCAGGGCTTCTGGAGGGCAGTGCATGCCAGGTGGGGTGCAAAGAGGAACCCCGCATGAATCTGGGGGCATATGTGCCACCCGGAGCTGCCGGAAAGAGATCCGTGGCCACTGGGGGGCTGGAAAGGTGGGTGTGGGGTCCTCCTGCGTGCCCCCCAACTCATCTACAGGCGTGGCTTTCACCTCACCTGGGAATGGGATCTGGCAGTCTCAAAAACGGGCAGATTTTTGGCCGTCTTAAGGAACTGGCTTAGGTAAAGTATCACACTGTGGATTCCGGCATTTTGCTTACAGCTGCCTTGGGGAGGGGCATTTGCTTTGTACGCCTTTCACTGTCTCTGGCTGCCTGGCTAATGATCTTCTGTTTCCCAGATTGGAAGGTGAGTGTTTAGTAATGATTTCATAACTGCATTTTAATGAGAGGGGGCCTCTCATTTCACCTCCTGGAAAGTACCACTCGGACACAGAGATATCTGTGCGTGCATGTGCGTGTTCACACACACACGTTCACACACACAGCTTGCGTTGAGCAGAATTGCCTTCGCTTGGATGCCCCGCACCTCCTCTCGGACTGGAAATAGCAAATAGCTGCCGGAGCTGATTCATTGGCCCAGAAGCCCTTGCAGGAGGGTAAGGAGCTGCCGGCTCAGGAGGGGCTGCATTGCAGCAAAGAGAAGGCGTGTGCACACTCCGCACACGCACACCCTGCCAGACAAAAGCGAGGAGGGGATCCCGGCAGGCCAGCTGGACACCTCTGGGCCGCCCAGATCAAAGAGCAGCATCTTCGCGCTGTGCCGGCTGGAAGCAGATTTCCTGATTCTTCTCTCTTTCACAGGTAAGAGCCTGGGAGAATTCTTAGCATTATTATTATTATTGAAGGTGGGATGCAAACCTGAAGGATTCCTTTGTGGGCCCCAGGAAAGAAAGAAAAAAAGGGTATATCTCCAGTTCTGGTCTGTGTCTCCTTCAGTGTCTCATCCATTTCTGCAGAAGGCGGTGGGAATTCTGTAAATGATCAGCTCCATATTAGGCTGCCTTGAATAAGACCTCCAGTCTGTCTTACAACCCCACCCACCGTCCAAGCCATGCTGAAAAATTAGCAGGTGATTCAAGACGGGGGCCTTGAAAGACAGCTAGGAGATGAATCAACATCTTTCTTTCCTTCTTTCCTTCTTCCTTCCTTCCTTCCTTCCTTCCTTCCTTCCTTCCTTCCTTTCTTTCTTTCTTTCTTTCTTTGGAGAAAGTTCTTTATGTTCTTTATGAACATTGATCCTCTCTTTCAGAGAGAAAGGTTTAGATGGCGATGTATCGCCAGAAGGGAACGGTGGTTCCGAAACAGCTGTTTTTTCATAGTAATTGAAGGGTTTAAGGAACAACTATGAAGGCGCTCGCAGTGAGGAGACAGGATAGGCCAGCCCTAGACATTAGCCAGCTGCCCCCTCCTCAGTTTCCAGTCCGCTAGTCCTTCGGGTGGGGGGAATTTTCTGTCAGGGAAGGAAGCATAAATATCTCTCCGTCCACACCGGGAAGATGCTATTTTAAAAACACAGATGTCTGCTTCATCTCACACATGCCACAGGCTCTTGGCCTCCCCAGCTTGTGCGTTCACTATATAAGATTAAAAATGATCTAATGTCTTCTTATGGCGTCAGGCGGAAGGGGCTGATCTAGGCAACGGCTCCGAGGAAGGCAGGGCGGGAGGCGGCTGCGACTTTCCCCGAGCAGGCACCACAAAAGGCGTGGCAGCCCCCCCACGAGATGCCGGGAGCTCTGCTCCAATGGGGCTGGCGGGGACCAGTTGGCGATCGGCCCTGCTGGCTGGGGATGATGGGAACGGGTGTCCAGCCATCCAGAGGGTTGTTTGGCTTTGCTCCTCTTTCTCCGTTGGACTTCAGCAAGCCACTATTTAATCTGTTTTATTATGAGTCTTTTGACGCTCCTGGTCCTTGAAAACATCTCAGGGCTTTGCAGCCTCTCCTGGTATGGAAATATGCATATTGATGTAAGCATGGTTGGATGGGAGTTGTAGTCCCACCGTGGGGGAGCTGGCGTGGATTCTTCCGCTTCGACGCTGGCCTCTGCTGCCGAGCCGAGCGCTGGGGGCTTGGGATGGGCAGGAGAGCGGCACTTCTCCGGTGGCCAAGAAGAGGGTGGGGATGGAGCCGGGCAAGGTGGGCAGCGGGGGCGGGGTGGTCCGCCCGAAGGACAGAGACCTCCGAGCATATTAGCCCAGGCCCCCTAACATATTAGCTCTGAGCCACGCATCCTGGGGTGGAGAAAGGCAGCGTTCCAACTCTTACATCTTCCGGAACGGCAAATTACAACTGAAGACGGTGGAGGGCGGGCCCACTGTGAGCGGGGCGGACATGCAGGGCCACCGTGGTGGGGCAGCCAGGCTGGGAGGGGCTGGACTTGCCCCCCCCCCGCTGGCTTGCCCCCCTGCCTCTTGCGCCGCCCAGCAAGGGGGGGGGCGAAGCAGGGGGGGCAGCCTCTTGCCCGCGGGAGGCTCGCCGCCCATCCGGCAAGGGGGGATGAGGAGCCCCTGCAGCGGGGGGTCGGGGGGGGGCGGTTGTGGATGCCTCACCACAGCCGCCCAGTAAAGCTGCAGCCGGCACGGAGAGCAAGAGACGCGCCTCCGTGTGTCCCACGCACTTCCTGCAGTCCCAAAGGAGGCAACAAGGACACGTGTCCCACCCCTCTCCACACTATCCTCACAACAGCCTTGCGTGGTAGGCCCCCCAGTCTGCTGCGCAGAGATTCAGCCGTGGCACTGCCCAGTCCCCGGTTTGCCTTCCCCACCTCGGTGCTCTTTGGAGGTGTTGGCTGACAACTCCCGTCAGCGCAAGAGATGGACTGAGGATGGGAGGTGAAGTCCGGTCCTTCAGGCTTCCAGCTGTTGCTCTAACCACAGCTGGGCAGTGCAGAGTCCTGTGGAAAGATGGCGGGGCGGGGGGCTTCAGGCTGGTCTCCCGATATTCCACCTGCACCGGGGGCTGGGCACAGCCATGCTAACGAGCTCCCTTCTTCGTCTGCAGCGAGCCATGAGGGACACCGTGAACTCCCAGTACGATTCCTTCCTCTACTGGCGGATGCCCATCCCCGAACTGGACCTGTCTGAGCTGCAGTGCCTCGGCTTGGCCGACGTGGCCGTCTGCAAGCCGAAGGGAGGCTACGGCGGCCTGGCCGTGGGCCGGAAGAAGCCGAGCGGCAGCCTCTCCCAAGGGGAAGACGGCGACGGTGAGGACCAGCAGCTTCTCCAGTTCAACAGCTTCAACTTCTGGAGGGCTCCCATCGCCAGCGTCAGCCCCCTCGATTTCGACCTCCTCTGATTCGGCAACGTCTCTTCATTCGCGTGGCGAGCGAGAGACCACCCCCCCGCCCCTTCGCCCCAAACGTTCCCTCCGTGGCGTGTCCGTCACAAGCACCCGCGACGCCCTCCCCGCCCTCCCCGTTGTGGTTGTCGTGGCTGCCGTGTGCCGGCCGGCTCCTTCCGAAGCGCCGCTCTGCCTGCCGGTCGCTCTGCCCGTCGGCCGGAAGGTGCTGCTCAAACGCAGGGCGGGCAGCAGCCGAGCCTCCAAGCTCGGGGCCTGGCACGCGCTCCCGGCCCCCGCGAAGGACCCCAGCAGGCCAGGACTGAGGGGGTGCTTCCCCGGGCCCCCCTCTCGCTTGGGCATGGCACTGGCAGGGCAGGGAATCCCAGCCAGCAGGCGCTCGGCCGCCCTGGCCGCTCCTCCGCCCGGGAAGGGCCGAGTTTTGCTCCGGAGCATCCGGGCCTCGGGAGGGAGAGGTGGCGGGCGGCTGGCTTCCCCCCCAGCACACGCGGGGTCCCTCCAGCTCTCCTCTCTCTGGCTCCTGCTGCAGCGCAAACAGGCTAGCCCGGAGAGGGAGAGCGGAGGAAGTCCCCGGGGGCAGAGCAGCGGCCCGGCCAGGTGAGGTGCTGGCTCTTGGAGGCATGCGGAATTAAAATACAAAACACACCCGATCCAGCGTTGTAGTTTTCAATGGGGTTTGCTCTGGTTTTGCACGGACGTAAGAAGGGCCCTCCTGCATCTCGTTTGCCCAGCCCAGCGCTGGGTTCACAGGGCGGCAAGCCAGGTGCTCTCAGGCTGCCTCAAGCAGGGGGGCGCGCGACCCCCACCTGCCTCAGCTCCGGCAAGCAAGCACGGCGGTTGCGACCCCTCCTCACTGGGGAGCTGCTGCAGCCCCTCATCATTTGGGTCGCCCTTCGCGGCACCTTTCCCAACGCAATCACGCCCTTTCCCAAGCGTCCATCCTGGTCGGAGTACGAAGACGCGCATCAGTTCCTCTAATTTTGCCTTACGTGGAGTCATCACAAGGAGCTGCGGGGGGGGGGGGCTGAGCAGCAGGACCCCCCCAGGATCCACCTTGGCACGTTTGCTCAGCTGTCCTTGCCACTGTCTAAAATGCCTCCACGAGGCGAAAATGTGGGGGGATCTCCCCCCCTTCACTGGGCTCCAGCCCCCGAGAGAGCCTCTGAAAGAAGGGAATGTGGCCTGGAGCTGAACGAGGTTCCCCCCACGCCTCCGGGGGGGGGGGTTCATAGCCCCCCCCGGAAATGGCGCTTCTGGGAGGAGGAAATGGAGGGAGTGTGGCTTTGCCCCGTTTGGGGCCAAAGGGCAAGAGGGAGGCTGCCTCGGGCTCGGTGCAGAAAGGGAGCGGGAGCCAGCAAAGCCCCAGCGGCCGCCCCGGGCACAGATCACCCTTCCCAGGACTGTCGCCATCACACGGCGGGCAGATCCCATCTTTTCTCCCGGGAGGAACCCAAGGCAGCTTTTGTGGTCCCACACTGCTCCATTTGATCCTCACACCAGCCCTGTGAGGTGGGCTGGGCGGAGAGTGAGTGGCCCAACAAGCTGCGTGACGGAGCGGAGACGAGCACTCGGATTCCCCAGCGGCTCCACACGACGCCACCCCGGCTCCAGAAAGCAGGTTGGGGTTCAGTCCACACACTTGAGGCTCAGCCCCCAGCATTTCGCCAAACCAGTGACCCTAGGACAGAGGGCAACCGCCTTTATCTCCACCGGGCTGGGTGGGGATGATAGGTGTTGTAGTCCTTCCGGAGGGTAAGGTTGAAGGTGTAGCTGAAATAGGTGCGGGGCCCCACAGCCAGCTGGGCCTTAGCCCCAGAGCAGAAGAGGACCAAAGGCTCGGAGGGGGCCCAGTGTTCCCCTAGCAGGCGTGAGCTGCCTCTGGCTGGAGGGATCCTCGCAGCAGCGGCTGTCCAAATGCGCCTCCATTTCTTCCGCGGGGGCTTTCCGTGCTAAGAAAAAAAAGGCACAAGCAACGGCGGGAAAACATGCGAGGTTACGGGGTGGAGGAGGACGGCCGACGAAATATGCATGAAAGAGACACGATGTGAGGAGTGGGATCAGAGGCCGACCTCGTAACTGTCTCTGTGAGGCAGCCCAACAGCAGTTCACTTCTTCTGTGCAGCACATTCTATATTCCACTGTTAAAAGATGAAATATTCTAGATAATGGATTCTCCTGTCCCGTTCTTTGCACTGCATTCACAGTGCTTTGCATTTTATGCTTTGGCTCAGTTTCCTGCATTTGGACGGGTAACAATTTAAATGGAATGGGCAAAGTGCCATTTACGCTTCACCTCGGTGCAAATTCTAGTGAGCACATCCAAATGCACACGGATAGCAGTACCCTAAAAATCTCTGTACCGCCTAAGCAACAAAGCAACCACACGGATTTTTTTTCTTAAAGACCAACAAGTCAGCAAATGCCATGGGCAGGGCTCGTTTGCTTGCTGGCTGGCTGGCTGGTTTGAATGCTTAGCCTGCCATTCAGGAAAGCTGCTGACAGACAGCGGACATTGAGGCACTCCGGCTCCCATCACACAGCTGCACTGTATGCCTGTGAGAATAATAACGCGTCTTTCTGAATTCACACAGACACACGAAGGATGCAGAGGCGTGTCCTTTACTGCACAAAAAAACAGGCCATTCCGACTGCAAACGTGGGAAGACCCTTCGCAGCGAGGGATCAAAAAGGCTCAGCTTGACCACAGAGGCGCCGGGCCTAGAGCGCCCCTGGAGTGGTCCGTGCGCACCGGCCGTCTCTCCCCGCGACCATAGAGGTCCGGAGGGCCGGCGGATTTCCGTTCCTTACCGGAAGTCCCGCGTGTGCGGCCCTGAGGGTCCCCCTCACCCCTCGGCCCCAGCCGGGCGGGGCCCGCCATCTTGTCTCCCTCCTTCCCGCGACGCGCCGCGTGGGGGAGGGGCCCGCCGTTCGGAAACGAGCGGAAAATCAAATGTCAATGTTAATCTATTAATCACGGTAATCGATGCTCTTGGTTAAACAACCATCGTAAGGAGTTTTTTTTTTTAAACCACACATTTTTTGGAAAAACGAGAGATGCTTCCAGGAAGTTAATTCCACCCCCACAAAAAGGCAGGAAAGCGAAACCCCCAACGTGGCGCCCCCCGCCTCTGAGGGGTGAGTCTGGGGCTGCCCTGGGGGCAGCGAGGGTGGGAGGGGAATTTGGGGAGGGGGCAGCTTGGAGGAGCTTCGGGGGGGGAGCAGGGAGGACCCCCGGGGGGGCTCATGGGTCGGGGGCGCCGTGGCGTCTCGTCGAAAGGGCAGAATATGCTTCGATTCACTAGAAATACTGACATTCGCACGTGTGTTGGCACCTGCGTGTGTCGGTGCCATATGTACGGGGCTGGTTTCGAGTGGCCTTATAGGGATCCACGCGGCACCGTCCTCGGGCCGAGCTGGGCTCCCCTTGGATCCATCTGGTCTGCTCCCAGTATGAAGAACTGCATTAATTGATTATAAATAAATAAATAAAATTTGTGTGCCGTCCAATTACTAACGCCGGTGGACGGCTAACAGCATAACGGATGTGGGCCGTCCCGAGGCTTCGGCGAATGGGGAGGCATAGAAGTCTAATTAATTAATTAATTAATAATAATAAATACATAAATAAATAGTCTATGTATAGCCATGCTAATTAGAAGTCTCCTAAATAAATAAATAAATAAATAAATAAAACAACGTGTCTATTTATAGCCATGCTAATTTATCAGTGTCTCTTGTGACACTTAGAATGGCTAAGCATGCCCTGCAGGAGGGGCAGTTTTTGAAAACACCTCCAGTGTTTTGAAAACCTCCGTTCCCATGTCTCACGATGTCGCTGGTGGACCTGGGGAAGCGCTTGTTAGAAGCGGCTCGCAAAGGCCAAGACGACGAAGTCCGGACCTTGATGGCAAATGGCGCGCCCTTCACCACGGACTGGGTACGTGCGGCGTGGGCAGTGGGGTGGGAACCCGGCTGGGGCCAGTTCTCCCTCTGTAACCGTGGCGCCCGATTGAGAGAATTATGGTCTGTGAGGTGCACTCAAATGCATCCCCACGGACATCGGGACAATCTGGTCGCAGCGGTTGGAGGAAGTCTGGCTGCTGGTTGCACAAGCTGCAGCACGGAAATAGGGCCTTCTCCGTGGTGGCGCCGCCACATGGAGTTTTCTGCTGCTCTTTGGGAGGTGTCAGTTGTGCAGGCTTTCCTGGAGCGATTGTGGTATCGAGTTTCTTGCCCGCTAGTGTGCAGTTGGTTTTTGTGTTCTCATACATTTATATACGTGCTTTTGTATTTATATGTGGCACTTTAATGTATGCTACTGTATAGTGCAATGCATTCAAGTGTATTTTCATAAATGGCAGTTGGTATACAAATGTATTATTAATAATATAATACTAATAAAAATTAAAGATTAGGTTCTCTCTTCTCAGAGTTGCACAAATAGGCAACCTGTTGCTTGCTAGATAACTTGGATAGAACTCCCATAAGCCACGGTCAGCATGGGCCAGTGTTCAAGAATTGTGGGATTTGTAGTTTAGAACATCTGAAGAGGGTATTACCAGGTCTGCCTCCCCTTGCTTTGCATGAATAGTAAACTTATTATCATGTGTTTGGATTGTTCTGCTACCCAAAAGGCTATTTTTACAAATAACTGGCAAGTTTGCAGAAATACACAAGAACCTTAAGAAAAATACCCTCTTAAAGTGCAGGGGCACCTCTGCAACAGCTCAGTGGCCACAGAATGCTGGCTGATTATTCTGCCAGGAAAAAACGGAAGACCAACTGGGATGGTGTGTCCAGGGGAAACGGGCTGGATAGCTGGAATCTCTGCGTTGGGACGGTTTGGTGCAGGCCCTCCTTGGAAAGCGTAAATCAAAAAAACGTAGGCTCAAGAGCGGAAAACCCTGGTACGAAACGCAGCAGCCCTGGCCTTTGCGGCCAGCGAACTCGGTGGCTTCTGAGCTGAGGAAGGTTCTGGCTTGCCTTGGGAAAGACCGCGGTGGAGGTGGGGCCAAGATGCAGGCGGGCTTTGCAGGCCCAGGGGCTGCACCAGGAACACCCGGCTTGCTCTGGGGGGTGTTCCGGGATGGGACCCGGGGCAGGCTGCTACTCCGGCGGAGGAGGGGTGGCTCGGTGGCAGCGCGCCTGCTCCACATGCAGGAGGCCTCAGGGGATGGCCTGCGGGGCCGTGGGATACCCTTCTTTGCCAGAGACCCTGCAGAGCCGTCGCTGCCCGGATAGGCGCTCCTGGGCCATACGGACCCTTCGCCTTGGGCCTCAGGCGCCTCACATAAAAAGTGCTCCAAGGGGTGTCTCCGGGCCGTGCGGCTGCTCCACGCCGTGCCCTCCCCTGGGTCCGCCTTCTGCCTTTGCCCCGTGGTTCAACCTGGGTGCCAGTCCCCTCAAGCACACGAGTCCCTTCTTCTGCCCTTCCAGACCAAAAGAGAGACGCTGCAAGGAGCAGGGCTGGGCTGGAGCTCAGGGCAGCTGAGCAAGGGGGGCGGGGGCGGGCAGCAGCCAGGGTTTGACTCTCCTCCTGCTCCGTCTCACAGCTGGGAACTTCCCCCCTTCACCTCGCCGCTCAGCACGGTCACTATTCCACAGCCGAAGTTCTGCTCCGGGCGGGAGTGAGCCGAGACGCTCGGACCAAGGTGGACAGGACGCCGCTTCACATGGCCGCTGCGGACGGGCACTTGCACATTGTCGAGCTGCTGATCAGGGTAAGGAAGGCCCAGTTGCCGGCGGGATTCCCTGCGGGCCGTAGCGGGGCCCTCCTCCGCGCGGGGAGCCCTGCGTCGTGTCTGGTTTGTGCCCATACCCAAGCCGGCCCCAGGCTTCAGGGTGGTCCCTGGCAGGTTTCTGCATTACCTGTCCATAACTATTCCTGACTTGATGCAGAGGTGGGTTGTAAAGATGAACTGCCCTAAGGATCAGAAAACCTACAGCAGGGCAAGCTGAAAGGACACCGTGTTCCAAATGGCGCCCGTCTGGGTGTCCCGGTCGCCTCTGGGGAGCCATTTCCAAGCACATTCTTCAGTCCTGTTTCTCAGCATGAGCACTTTATATTTCCCAAGAGTCAGATTCATGCTGTGTTAAAAAAACGGAAGTTAAAAGAAGTGTTTGAAATGCATGTGTGTAAATGTAATGCTCAGGAAATTCACTTTCCAGAGTCAGGACTGATTTAGGATGACTCGTGCTCAGATTGCAGACCCAGCACAGGGTTGGTCCTGGTTTGGATGTTTAAGCCAATCCTTTTCTTGCTGGTAAGTTTCTCATTGTCAAAGCTGCTGCTGCCCGTGAGCCCGTGAACAAGAAGCCAAGGATCCGGCCTACTGTTTGTGTGAGCGTGGCCAAGAAGGGAAAGGCTTGGAATGGGGAAGGAAAAAGGCAGAGCTCACGCATCAGCTTTTAGCTTCAACACATGCAAAGTTCAAACCTGGAAAATATCCTGCAGCAGTGATCAGACTGGCAAAGGTACGCCCCCGTCCCTCTCGCTTGCGGGTTGGCCACCCGCTTATCTATGCACCTAGCTCAGCTGTCCTTGTGGCATCCACTCACAGTGGAGACAAACCTCTGTAGTTGTGCTGCTGCGACTTGACAACAGACTGCCTCAGCAAAAGCGGGAGCGAGTGCAGACAGTTCCAGCCTGCCTCCGAGCTTGGCCTGGGTCAAAGAGAGCTCTTTTCTGCCCATCAGAATGGCGCCGATGTGAACGCCAAGGACATGCTGAAGATGACGGCCTTGCACTGGGCGACCGAGCACAACCACCGGGAGGTTGTCGAGCTGCTGGTCAGATATGGGGCCGATGTTCACGCTTTCAGCAAATTTGACAAATCTGCCTTTGATATTGCTTTGGACAAGAACAATCCAGAGACCTTGTTGATCCTGCAGGTTGGGACCCCGACAAGGCCTTTGGGCCTTGCTTTCTTGCGTTGTCACCGCGGTTTTGCTTATTGCTTGCTCTGTCTTGCTTGAGTAGACCTGCTGCCTTGCACAGAGACCTGCCTTGGGAACCTCCACCTTGAACCAGCGCAACTCCCGACGTCCCTAGCCAGTTGGGGGGTGATAGAAGTTGTAGTGCCACACCCCCGGAGGACCACAGACCGGGGGAGGCTGCCCTGGAGTGGTGCTCAAGTCCACGTCCTTGGCGTCGTCTTTTCGGGAGCCGGCCTTCGCCTGCCGTCCCTCAGGCTCCTCCTGTGCAGGATCAGGGCGATCATGATTGAATGTTTTACTCAACTTGTTCTGAAATAAAGCCCCTTGACTCTCAGCAAGATGATTAAATGTGAATTCCAGAAAGTAAACTAGCAAAAGACAATTTCCGTTAAGATGCAGAAACATAACAAAAGGAGTAAAACATCAGCACAGACCATGCCCAAGGCAGCCGAGGTGCAAAAGCAGCTCTTCTGGCGCTGTTGTAAAAGTCAAAATGGTGTTTGTGCTTCTCGGTTCCTGGGGAGGAAGGTACATTCATGTATGGCTGGGCAAGACATGGAGCTTGGTGCTGGAGGCCCTGACTTGGCCCTCTGGGGATCCCAGACTTGCTTTCTGGGATCCTGAGCCTGAGCTGGGTGCGTGCAGGGAGAGGGCTCTGCTTGCTGAAGTGCTGCCACCAGGTGGGGCAAGCCAGCCGCCTGCCCTTCAGGTCTGCTGGATGACAGCTGCCAGTCAGCGCATCTCCCCGCCTCCCATCTAAAGGGGTCTGAGGGTGGCTCTTCATTCCTGTGAAGGCACAGAAACCTCACGAAATGCTAATACAGCCGCGGTGGAACAGTGGGTCTGAATAAGGACCCAGAACTCAGTATATTTAAGTACCCCCCCCAAAAAAAACCCCAGCAGAATTCCTATAGGGAAGGAGCCAAGCACGAGACGTGCGCCATCTGCATGCCAGGGAGGGAAATCTGGGAGAATTTGGCCCATTAGATAAGTTACTCCCAGTCCGTTTTCTAGGGCTAAGGTGACATTGGCCATCTTGGTAGTTTGCTTTCTCGTCCTGAAGAGCTGGCTCCTAAAACGTTGCCTTGGCCGTGTTGGATTTTATTTTCCCCCTACTGCCCCAACTAAAAACTGCCATGGAATCGTGTCCAAAATGGTTGGAAGTGCAGTTCGGCCAGGCCAACACGGAGACGACCGGTTCGCAGAGCAGCGGCTGATTCGGCAGCCCAGGAGCTGCCCTTGGCCAGCGTGTGGGGCCTGACGCGCCTTCCCTTCCTCAGGAGGCGATGCAGAACCAGGTCAACACCAACCCAGAGAGGACAAATCCAGTGCCCAGGTCCGTGACGGTCGGGCAGCCGTTCCTCCTGGCCTCAGGCGAGGTGCTGAGTTTGGCCAGCCTTGTCTCTGCAGCAAACCCCAAAACAACCCCCGGTAAGGCTGTGCGAGCGCGGCACCCTCTTGTCCCGCCGCGGACGTCGCTGATTTTGGCACAGGACAGGGGGAGAGGCAAAGTCCCCGCTGTTCTAGCCCAGGATCATAACTGCCTCTCTCCTCCAGCACTGTTTGCTCTGTCTCCCCCCAGCAGGAGAGCCACGCATCTCCACCGTGCAGTTTCCAAACTCAACAACTTCAGTGCTGGTCACTTTGGCGGCTATCGCAGAAGCCTCCGGCCCACTTTCCAATTCGAACAGAGCTCCAGGTAAGCGAAAAAGGCCTGGGTGTAGCTGTGTGTATCGTGGCGATAGAAGAGCCCTCGATAAGCTCATTCAGGAACCCCCAAACGGGGGGGATCTTAAACGTGCCAGCCTGGGGCACCTGTGGCGCATCTGCAGCTGCAGCTCCTCTGACAATTCCGGGAAGGGAGCGAGCGATTCCTTAGTTTTCCGCCAAGCACCCAATTTCAAGCCAAGGCTTAATGTCAGCCCTTCCCTCAGCTAAAATGCGTGTGCGTTCATCAGGAAACGATTGCGAGTTTGTGTCTGCCCTTTGCAGCCATCTCTGAGGAAGTGGCGGGACCCACTTCGGTGGACTCCCCCCTCCAGCGCGCAGGCAGCAGCGGGGGGCAGCGCGTCATCACAATCGTGACGGGTGGGCCCCTAGGCCACCTGCAGGCAGCGGGGCGCCTCGGGCAGCCGCTCATCGTGACCATGCAGAACGGGCAGCAAGGTGAGCGGCACCCTGGCAGGACGGCCCTGTGGGCCCCTCTCTCTGCCAGCTTCAGGTGACGGGTCTTGACGTCTGCTCACATTCGGAGGGCCGCGGGATCCGCGCCCGTGGCTTGCGCCCCCAGCGATGCCTCCTCGGGAGGGAGGGCTTTTGGTGTCTGCCTTCGACAGGTGGCCCAGTGAAGTATGCCCACCTGACGTTTAGAAACGTCAGGGTTATGACAGCCCTGATTCTGAGAAACAAGCATTTTTGCCGCCGACCTGCGATGGCTCGCGTGCGTGTCATTAATGCCCTGTTCTCGCGCTCTCTCTGCCTCGTGCGCTCTTCCTTCACTTGCAGTTCTAACTGTGCCTGCTGGTCAGGTTGCAGAAGAAACTGCCCTCGAGGAACCAGGTGAAGACGCCCACCTGGTGGAGGAAGCGGAGCCCCCCGCGAAGAAAATCAAGGTGGAAGAAGAGGCGGGCAACCTGGATGCAAGCCAGGTAAAAGAGAAGGAAGAGCCGCCTTTGAGCAGGTGGGCAGGATCAGAGAGGTGGGGCGCTGACTGCTCCACGGTGGCTGCAGTCCCCAGGGTGTTGGCGGCCGCTCTTGGCACCGCCGGGCCCCCTGCCCCTCCCCATTGCATTGCCCTGGAATTTTAAAATATATATTTATGGAAACCGGGAGGGCCACATGCCACAAAGAAAGCGCTGGCCGCTAGTGCCCGTGTGGGGTGCAAGAGGGTGTTCTGACGGGGTGTGTGCTTTGCTCCGTGTGCTCCTCTCCGAGCATCCTCCGTGTTCCTTCTGTGACGTGGTTATTGGCTGTGGCGCGCAGCCGAGCATGCGGTCTGGCACATGCGGTTCAGGCCACACCTCTGTCTTGTGGGGGCCGTGAGGAATCGGTCATCCAGCCGGCCGGCCCCCAACACAAATGCCTCATCGCCTCCTTTTCTGCGAAAAGGGCTTTGGGGCTGGAAGCTGCAGGGGAGCTTTTGCATTTCGTAGCGCAGAGCCCACGCCTCTCTGCCTCGGGCTTTGCTTCTTGGGCAAGTCGCTTCTCTTTCGGTCTTCCCAGCGTGCCTCCGGGAGGAAGGTGTTCTGGGGGTGTCCGTGCCCATTTTGGCAGGCAGTCTGTGGGGTGGGCAAGCCCCACCCCATGGCAGCCCTTTTGCGAGGGCCCCAAAACCCTTCTGCAAAATTCCAAATGTTTGGGGCCCCATCGGTGAGGGTGTTCAAAGATAGGCTGGACATGCATATGGTGGGCATGTCATGAGCGGAGCCGGCTGGAGCTGGAGGTCAGACTAGATGGCCTGGGAACCCTTTTCTGACTCGCTCTGCTTCTATGTTTCTAAATGGTTGGGGAGTCCACAGTTCAAGGCATTGATTCAGGACACATGCCACCATGAGCATCTGTGCTGGGAAGAGGAGAAAAGTGGCTAGGAATCCACTCTTAACAGAATCTGGGGTTCTTTTCTTGCACAGAAGACTTCCCCCATAGTGGCAAGGAAGGGGAGAAACAGATAGCTTTCCCTGCCTTCCTGTGCAACTCGTGAGGGTTAGAAATTTGGAATTTCTTCCCTAGGCAATAAACTCACCTTGCAGTGCACTAAGGAGAGAGGTCTGCTCCTCTCCCTCCCTGTGTGCTTGGAGTCCCCGACTCCCCTTGTTGACTCATCTTTCAGTCGCCACTGATATCGTCTCAGTTGTTCCCTCAGGACACCGGCGAAAGAGAGATCCTGCAGCAACAGCTGCAGGAAGCCAACCTCAAAGCTCAGGAATACAGGAGCCGGCTGATGAAGAAGGAGTGGGAAGCCGAGCAGTACCGGAGGAAGCTGGAAGCTGTGGCCCGGGAGCAAGCCGGCGGGACGGAGGGAGGCGCTGTGGGGGGGGGCGGGCAAGGTGGGCTTGGCTGGCGGGTCAGCGGAAGGAACCATCGGCTCGGCGGCAGACGGGAAGCTCCCGGCAGACGTCGCGGAGGAAACGGCCACGTCGTAACTGCGTCCACACTGCCGCTTTCCCCCACCCCGTCGTGCTTGTCCCGGAAAGATGGGAACGGCGAAGGCGGCGGCATTTCTTGGACTCTGCGCGAGCCCCTCAGAGCCTGGACAAAACCACCTGTGCAGGCCAGTTCCGGGAGCAGCTCAGGCCCCTTCTCAAAAAATGTTGCAGCCCCTGGAGTGCTGCGTTCCCTTCAGGACAGGGCTCGAAGCAAGGAGGGCAGAAATGCCTCCCTTTTTCTAACCTCCTGACTTGCAAAGAGCCGATCTCGTCACAGCAGCCTGGAGTGCCTCTGTGGTCACCGGCAGAGCCCCTCTCTCGGGATGCAGTGCCCTCCACGCGCGTCGCTCGGGAAACAGAGCCCAGGTGCCTCCGCTCGCCTGCGCAGCAGCCCCCAGAGGGCTGGCTCGGGCTGGCAGAGGCGCCTCGTGCGCAGCAGCGAGGGGGCCTGCACACCCCAGTGGCAGGAAAGCCAGCCAGCCCCTCCGGCGCAGGGGCGCTGGACCTTTTCTTCCGTCGCCGTCTTGCGCTTGGGCCTTGACCTCTGCAGCGCCTCTTTTGCACGCGGGGAGCTTCAAATGCAGTCAGGGAATACTCGGGGTTCCCTGCCACGTGTACACACTTTAAAATGGGCTTACCCAGCAGCCCGGGTGCTGCAGTGGGCAATGAAGAGGCGCGAGCTTTTGAGATTTGCAAGTGTTTGTGTGGTTTTGCACAGCCGTGGACGGAGCTTTGGGGAGCGTGTGGATGTGTGGTGAGCGGTTACGGTGCATGGAAGCGAATGAGGCTCCGCTCAGCAAGGTGGCTGGCGGGGCAGGGGAGGCCGCCCAGAGCGGTGTCGGCAGGAGCGTTGCCTGCTCAGTGTGTGCGCCGCCCCCTGGATCGTGTTCGTGCAGTTCCCCTTCTGCCCAGGCATGACCTCCTTGGAAGGAGATGGGAGAGAAACGGGTGCGGCAGCCACAAAGGGGACCCTTGCAGCTACAATCTGAAACCTCAGGGATCTGTTCACACCACCAGCTGCCATCCAGGAGCAGCCGCGCTCATTTCGGCCGCCTCCTTTCTTGCAATCCAAGAGTTCAGTTGAAGGGGGCAGCCACGGCAAGCGTTCTTCCTTCGTTCGGGCAACAGCGGTGGGGCCGTGGCTTGGCCCCGGCAGCCGATGCCCCCCGCTGTCTGGCAAAAAGGGGCGCTGCGGGCCACTGGGGGCCCCCTGCATACCAGCAGCTGGCCTGTGCATGGATTTCCTTTCCTGCAGAGGGAGGGAAACCTGCCAGGCGAGGGGACAGTGGAAGGCCGCCTCCTCTCTCAGAAGGGCGATCTTGCAAGACTAGGAACGCTGGTTGTAAGTCGGGGTGCGTGGCTCTCCCAGCAGCTGCCCGGCTGCCCCTGACACTGGTGGCAGGCCGATCGCCGTGGCCACCTGCAGCCACTGGTAGCCCCACCCCACGTGAATCGGTCTGGCCTTCGAAAGGTGCCCAGGTTGGTGCCCTCCCCACTTGCCCGCTGGATCACAATAAATGAGCCATAGAAGTAAAGACGAACCCCACATTTTATGAAGAACCTTCCAGCAGTGAGGATGTATAAACATTGTAGTCCTGTGTTTAAAAAACCCCCAACCTATTTATTTAACATTAATCTGCTTTTCTATAAGCCTTTTCACTTTCCAACTGCAATTGTGCAGCAGTATTGTAAGATCTCAAGGTAGCACCTTCATCTTTTGCATTTGCCGTGCCTTACTGATCGCGGGAAAGAGAAGGTGGGCGCAGAGGGACCCCCTCCGGTCAGCAGCACAGTACTGCTGCTCTCTCTTACCCAAGGAAAACTTTTTTGCAAGACCTGTGCACTCAGGCCGTCGGCCATTCCAAGTGCCGTGCCAAGCTGCAGATGGTGCTATTTTGAAAAAATAGCTTTATTTACAGGCTGGCTTGTTTAGAAAAAGTATATTTTATATTTTAGGGACTTTGACCCAAAATGTTTATTTTACAATTCTATCTCGTTCCTTTTTTTTGTACTACCATTTGGTTAATAAAATTCCGAAGTCATATACTGGTGGTTCCTCTGTGCATCGGAAAACCGAGATGCCACGACTGGCTTGAAACAGCGGAAGAAAAAGGGAAAAGGTGAGCAGGTTTATCTTGGTACGAGGGAGTTGTTCCCTGCCCTGCGGGGATTACAGTCTGTTCTAACATGTGCCAGGGAGACGGTCATCAGATGAAGGCGTTCAAAGTGGAGGGAGGAAGGAAGTATAAGCATTTAACTGATGCGCATCCGGCTAATTCGCTGCTGGGCTCGGGAACTAAGTGACTGGGCCAGAAGCTTGGTGGGAAAAATGGGATTCGAAAGTGGGGCGAGCTGGCTCCAGGCAGGGGTTCCAGGTGGTGGGGCCAGACCTACAGGGAGACAGAGTTGAATTCTGGGGAGCTGTAGGGGGATTTTGGACAGGTGCGAGCAGGTGAAGGGTGCCAAGAGAGGAGAGGCGCATGAAGTGGGGGAGAGAAGCCTGTAGCGGGGCAGCCAAGGTCTGAACTCCAGGGAGGATGAGCAGGAGGCTGCTGCTGGAGTAGCAGTGCAGGTTTGGCCATGGCGCCCCTCGCCCCCTCCAAGCCGCTGCTCTGCCCAGGGGGCGAGAAACAGAAATGGGCACCAGCTTGCTTTGGGAAGAAGCCCAGCCTCTGGCATGACGCAGCGCTCGCAAAAGAACGGGGTTTGTGCTTCTGCCTGGCACCGCAACCCAGCGTGTGTTTCCATCTTCCTGAAGGATGTGGATGTTTGAAGTGGAAAACTCAGAAAGCGACTCCTTGGGCTGAGTTGGTTTTTTTTTTTTTAGACCTTGTGCAAAATGGTGAGCAAGACATGGTGCCCGGGCAGGTCCACTTGCTTGTGAAGAGAAGCATAAGCCCCAGCACCTCTTTGGGACCCTGCAAGGCAAAGGGGAGGCAAATACACAGTCCTTTCTGTGCCATTTAAAGCACTCGCTCCAAAAACCTATTGCTTGTTTCTTCACCCCAGAGCGTTTTGGACGTTGCCCCGGAATTTAAGATCAAAGATGTGCTGAGAAACTTCCTCTGCTCCTAAAATAATTTTTGTCTGCACTACTCGGGGGGCCTTTGAGTGGAGAAGGACTGGATCCTGCCCCGAATTCTGCCGGCTGGGCTTGGAAAAAGCCCGGGCCTTGCTCCGGCTGCCATTTTGGGAGCTGTTTTAAGGATTCCGGGGGCATCACGTCCCTCCCTCAAAGCCGCGAGTTCTAATAACTAACATTTTGCTGCTGGTTATGATGTGCCAGTCTGTGCACTGCTTTGATTTATAACGGCTTAGAAGGCTTTTGACTGAGAGTGTAATTAGTTTCCCCCTGGACAAATATATATATATTTATATGCAGCAGAAAAAGAGTGAGGCATTCAGCTTTCCTTCCAAAGGGCTGGTGGTGCAGGGGGGGAATGTGGAAAGGGGTTATCTGGGGGCAGGAGATGCCTTGGCCCCAACTCCTGACTCCAAATCACAGGTCTTGGTTGGGTAAGGAAGTAGCAGTTTCACATTGCATTTACATCCCATCGTTTTAGCTCTTGCACGGTAAGTTGGGCTGAGAGGCAGAGGCAGGCAGTGAATTTCATGGCCAAGCGGGGACTGGAACCACACTGATGCTTGTTAAGTCCGAAAGGGTCCCAGTGGCCCGGGAGTGCAGGCTGAATGGCTGCGTGGGGTGGGGAGGGGGGGAGGCGGAACGGAGAACCCTGCAGAGGGCAGGGCTGGCAGGCAGGCCGGAACACTGAGGACCGGCACCACTGCACCACGTAACCTTTTGACTCGGGTCCTGCCGGTCAGGAACTTGGTTTGCTCTTGCTGCTCCTGGAATAATGACAGCACCAGAAACGCTTTTCCGGGCTGCCCAGTTGGCTTGCAGAGAGTCGTCCTGGGGCAGCAGCAGGCCAGGGGATCTATTTGGGCTGTGGCCACGTGGCCGCAGTGCTGCCTTCCTGTGGGGGCCCGTGGTCAGGTGCAGCGCGCCCCCACCGGGCGCCTGTGCAGGGCCGGGCCGGGCCAGGATGCAGACCAGGACAAAGGGTGCCTTAGAAAAACACAGGAATCTGCTTGCTGATACTTGTCCCAAAGGGGCTCGCCGGGCGACTCTTCTCAGGGGGTTAGTTGCCGCCTTCTGGCGACCCAAAGTACTTTGCTTCCTACGAAGAGTGTGCCTTTGGCAGACTCCCTGCATAAATGTCTCGTCTGCAAGCCCTTGCCACCCGTGGCCGTCTGCACCTCTTGTGGCAGTGAGTTCCACGGTCCGTTGGCAAGATACGCTTGCTTCGTGACATCCATGGCCAGTCCACACCTTGCCCTCCGTCAAAGGCGTCTTTCCCCAAGCAGGCGGTCCGGGGAGGAGGGCGAGCTGCGGTGCGGGTCGGGCAAGATCCAGGCGCAGTGGACGATCAGCACCCCAGGAAGACCCGGAGGAAGAGGATGGAGACGGACGGGGCTTTCTGCTCCAGGGCAGGGCAGGGTCCGGCTGTGTGTGGCTGGGGCGGTCAGCCGTCCTTCTAGGAGGGGCTGATTCAGTTGCAGCTGCTGCAGTGGTCAAAGCCCCCCTTTGCTACCATAATCTTTGGAGAGCCGAGATTCACAGAAACATAGAAACAGAGCGAGTCAGAAGGGGTCTCTCAGGCCATCTAGTCTGACCCCCGGCTCCAGTGGGATGGAGAGATGGAGGGCCGGAATGGGGACGCCTGGGTTCAGATCCCTACTTGGGTGCAGAGCTCCCTGGATGTCTCTGGGCATGGCCTGGCCTGCCTTGCACGGCTGTTGTGAGGTTAAAATCAAGGAGTGGTGCAAGGCGAAACGCAGGTCGAAAGACAGACAGCCTCGGCTGCCTCCAGGACGGCTGCTGGAAGCGCTGACCTTCTTGCAGGGCTTCTGTGGGACTAAATGGGGAGGAGGGGCCGCAGGCGGAGTGCGTGGGGCTTCCTTCCTCCAAGGAAGACTGAGAATCACCTGAAGGATTTCCCTCGCCTTCGAAAGTGCTCAGAATGTCCGCCCCAAGACGGGGCAGCTCAGCAACAAGCGGGAGGTAAAAGCATGCTCAGGTGTGTGTGTGTGTGTGGGGAAAACTCTGAAGGGCCAACTCTTCCCTCCTTGGAGTAGCCCAACTCGACCGCAAAGCAAGCAGGTGAGAGGGGAGAGGAGAAGAAAACCGCAGGGAGGCCTGGAATGGAACCAGGTTTCCAGGAAACCCGCACGGCTGGCAGATGCACCGGAATGTCCGGCACCACAACAGGTGGCTGTTTTCGTTGCTCCTGCTGTGAATGTCCTGCCCAGAGAACTTCAGTTCTTGGGCCGTTTAAAAGTGCAGCAAGTAAGCATAATAATCATGCTGATAAAACGAAACTAAACAGAAGTTGTCCTTTCAAGTCCTTGGACGCAAGCCTGGCCAAGGTCCCGGAGCGGAGATTTGAGTCTGGTTCTCTCTCCCATTTGTGCACCGAATTCGGCCCTTGCTCTCTGTCTCTTTTCCCAACCAGTTTCACCCCAAGCAGCGTCCGCACACAAAAGCAACGCTCTGGTTGGTTGCTGGAGATGCAGATAGGTCTGAGCGGAGGCTTGCAATAGGTGCGAGGGGCTGCCAGGCGGCTCCATTTCCCGCCTCCCTTTGGGGCAGGTGGCCGGGGAGGGTGCATGGATCCCCCCAGGTTGCAGCAGCTGCCTTTCTGGAGGGCAGGAATTCTGACCACGTGGTGCCTCAAGGCAGCCTTGGAAGCAGGAATTGCATCTCCCAAAGGCAGGGCCCGGGCTGCTGCGGTTCCCACGGCACGCCCTGCTTCTCCGCTAGGAGCCCCCGGGGTCTCTGCAAAAGCAGCGCACAGCCCTTTTCTTCTTGCTTTTTTCTCCTTTCACAGGACACACAGACAGTTAATCTGCTTTCTGGCTTTTTCAAGCGCTTGCTCATTTGTTGCAAGAGCCGGCGTGTCAGACACAAGTCTTTCTTTGGCACCATTACTGTCTTTTGTTCCTGTCTCACCAGAAGAACAAAACAAACTCCCATTAGAGAGCACTCTCATTTATAAACCCGATAAACATCAGCATTTCAGAAGCGGCCACGATGCTGCATGGCTCCGTTTTGCTCTCGAGGGGAGGAACACTGCTGAATGGGAACCAAACCCTCCCATTTTCCAGGACTTAAAGTTCCACATTAGTGAATATTTAAAAATATTTAAAAAGCCACAGGGAAGTTGCAAGCCAAGGTCTGCGGCTGGTCAAAGACCAACCAAAATGCCATTTGTGATATTGATTTCCAGAAGAGTTCATTATTTGCTCTCCAAACGAGGGGCAGGTATGCCCAAAATATTGTGGCAGTGGCTGGCATGGGAAAAAGTTTCCATAGAGGTTTTTTTGAGTTGTCTTGATGCAATTCTAACGTGATACTGCAGTAATCACATATGACGCTGAAGTCACATCTGACCCTGAAAGTCAATTTCCAGTCGGAGGTCTCTCATTCTACGACTGGACTCCCTCCAAATTTTCCAACCTGGGTTTCCGGATGTCCACAACTTCAATTTTCGCCCTCCTCATGTTTTCCGTTGCTGAGTCTGCATTTTTATCTGCCAGAATAAAACCCCACTAAGTGATGGTCACGTATCTAGTGCAGCTGAGATGGACCGTGTGATCCGTCATCGAAGCTCTTCTGATGTTCTTAGGATTAAAAAAACAGCGCCTTTTGATCGGAGCTCCTCTTAGCCCCGCTGTCCAGGAGGGCCCTTTGCAAAGAATAAAACATCGGGAGGGAGTAATTACCCTCACCGACACCTAGGGGAAGCCACCATTGAATATTAGTGGCAAAGAAGGCTTAAAAGATGTAATAGCTGTAATAAAAACCACAAACAGAACCATCATTGTGAAGGAAAGGAGCAAGAACATTTGTAAAGAAATGTAAACCTTAAATTAAATGTTTTATAGGCTCTCTGACAGAGATGGAAGGAGCGTGCATGCCTGCTTCCTTGAATGGCAACCCCCTTGTGTCCAGTGGCTGCAGGTCCGCACAGCACGCCTGCA